CTGAGTTGGACACCGCGAGGCGGTCACCGAGGGCGAAGCCGCTGCCGCTGCTCACGACTGACGCATTCGTCACGGAGAGCACCGACTGGTCCCCCAGGCTGAGAACCGACGAGGGCGGCACGTACATCGCATACGCACTGTCACCGCCCGACGCCTCCAGCGAAACTCCGTCAAGCGCCACAACGCTCGACAACAGGCTCACGTCGCCACCGACGTACATCGCCATCCCACCCGCGGCGGACGTCCTCAGAGCGGTGTTGTTCACGCGCAGCTGCGAGTGCGATAGCGCGGTACTGTACAGCACAAGCGGCGCCGCCACCGCGTCAGCCAGACCACCGATCGGGGCGTAGCTCACCGGGCCCGTCGTCACAATCGTTGAGTCGCTGACCGTCACATTCGTGCGTGCCGGCAGGTTGTACGCGAACACAAGCGAGCAGAAGCGCCCGGAGAGCCCGCTCACGCTCACCTCCAGGCTCTGATCGCCCGACTGTTCACCTCTGTACCCGCGCACGTAGATCTGTGAGCCACCGTCGCAGACGCAGTTCCTCAGGTCGATGCGCAGCGCGCCAGGGAGCATTGCCGCCACGTCCAGCACTACCGCGACGCCATTTGTGATCGACACGCTGTCGAGCAGCACGCTGTCAATGGCGCGGCCAACAACAATGGCGTTGCTGATCGTGCTGCCCCGAAACTCGAAGGGGACAGCGCGCGCCGTGGGGATGCAGGCAGCCGCGACAACGAGCGCCACCACCAGGAGAAGTGCCACACGCAAAGACGCACCGGTGTGCCGCCGCAACTCTGCTGCTGAGGCCATTGGACGACAAAAGTGAGGGTCTCTCGTGCGGCCGTGAAGTGTTGGGGCCGCTTGATCGGGCTCTGCCACTGATTGTCAATTGCTCTTCTAACACCGGCGAAAAGAGATACTCAATCCGCCAGCAAGTACTACTAAAAGAAGAAACACCTTAGCTTTCGATATGCGATGCTTCGCGTTGGTTACCTTGTCTTTGTAGTAAAGGAAGAACACGCAACGAAAAGGACAGTTATTTACCTCTGACAGCACCAACAGCCAGACAAATCTTTCACCCAGGCCAGAACTGCACCAGAGTCCGTTGCCTCCCCTGCACATTGTCAAAGACAGGCCATAGTAGCTTTTCCTTTGACATTTAACATACTTCCCACCAATCACACTATTCGTACAATCGAAGGAGGCAACTCCGCCTCCCCCAAGTGACTCCTGTGAATAGCCGGAACTTCATCGCACCCATGATGGTAGTGGCCGCATAAGAACTACTCGATGCGCCTTCATGAACGCCAGACGCCCAGTATGTGCTTAGACATCACCGCGAGAAGGGGAAGAAGAATCAAACAAAGAAAGCAAGGAGAGGGGCTTGTTGGTCAGTTGCCAGTAGTCAAAGCGTCGGTTTTCGGCTCATGGGGGTCGGTATTGCAGAACACATAAGTGACATCACGTTATACGCGCAAATGCTGTAGGGCACAGGCCCACTATTTCCCACAGCACGGAAAGCAGCCCTGTCTTGTATCTGGGTTGACCGGACGTGATACATGAGTTTCCTCCGCGAACACTCGCTCGACGTCACTCCACAACGTCAGCACCGCTGTGGGGTGAGCAGCGTCTGCTGCCGTCGCGGTCACTGACAGTGCCACCTTGGCGATGCCCACTGACGG